GATACACAGAAGACAGGAACAAAATGATATTTGCTCCAGACGAACCCACAAGAATCAGCCCCCAGAGAGATCAACACAACTCAACATTGGACTTTTTCATCACAAAAGACGTCATTATAGAAGATGTAAGAGCCTACTTTGAATGCAGTTCGGATCACAAACCAGTGATAGGAAAGATGACTTCAAGAATTGACTTACCAACAATAGATCCGGTAGAAAGATGGAGATGGAAGGATGCAAATTGGCCAAATTATAGAAGACAACTTAATCAAATAGAGATGAAAAGAGAATTCCAATCCATAGAAGAAGTCGAGGGAAAAATAGAAGAACTAACAAGAAAAATACAACAAGCCATGGAGGACAACGTACCAAAATCAATGACGAACAACAAAGGACTAATTATCCCTACGGAACTACAGGACATCATAAAGGACAGAAATAAGGCCAGAAGAGCATTCCAAAGAACAAGAAGACAGGAATTCAAGGACTATGGAGACACACTATCAGAAGAAATAAGAGTAAGACTGAGGAGTCTTACTGAAAACCAGTGGCATAACAACATAAGGAAAGCTGAAGAACAACATGGAAACGTCTGGAAAATGCTGAAAGCCAAAAGAAGAGGGAAACAAAAGATGCCACAAATCATCGACGAAGAAGGAACTCACTTCGAAACACAAGGAAAAGTGGATGCAATAGCAAGAAGATTAGCAGCTACGCATAGACAAAACCAAAACATGTCAGATGCAAGAACAAGACAAGAAGTAGAAGAAGAATACAACAGAATAAAAAGAAGAAACATATTCCAAATAGAAGAAGAAGACTACACCAGCCCATACGAAGTAGGAAGAATCATCAGGAAACTTAAAGGAAGCAGAGCCCCAGGACACGAAGGAATCCACAACATCACACTAAAGGAACTTCCAAAGAAGATAATTGTCCAACTCTACTACATCTACAAATTTTGCTTGGAAAAAGGACACTTTCCAAGCAACTGGAAACACGCAAAAATTATTCCCCTCCTAAAACCCAGGAAAGACGGAAGAAGACCGGAAAACTATAGGCCTATTTCTCTCCTAGAAACGATGGGAAAAATACTAGAAAAAATAATCTTCAAGAGACTGACAAAACATGCTGATAGAAGAAGAATTATCCAAGAAGACCAGTTCGGATTTAGAAGAGGAAGAAATTGCGAACTACAACTGGCAAGAATAATCAGTGATACGAAAATTAAGTTCAACAGGAAACAAAAAACAGGATTAGCTATATTGGATATAGAAAAGGCATACGACACGGTTTGGAAAAAGGCACTTATCTTCAAAATGGACAGAGCTAGACTCCCACATTATTTAATTAACATATGTGATACATACCTATCTAACAGAACCTTTCAAATTTCAGCTGACCAAAAGATGTCAACAATACAAGAAATCCAGGAAGGAATGCCTCAGGGCAGCATCCTATCTCCATTACTCTACAATATATTTGTTTCAGATTTACCTACAGATCATAGAACTTCCACAGCTCTATATGCAGACGATACAGCGGTTTATGCATCCGGAAAAGATGACAGAAGAGTTATAAGAAATATGGAAAACCACTTAGAAAAAATCACAGAGTACACTGAAAAATGGAAGATAAAAATCAACGCGGAGAAGACACAATTCATCATGTTCACCCAAGAGACGAGACCACCACCGAACGAGATAACAGTAGGAGGAAACAGAATACAGGCAGCAGATTCAGTCAAATATTTAGGAGTCCACCTCGATAGAAGGCTTAACTTCAGGATTCACGCAGAAAAAACCAAGGTAAAAGGTAATATTGCTAAAAAATTGATACTTCCTTTTGTTCACAGGTCCAGCCCCCTATCGAAGGCCAAGAAAATCCAGTTATACCAGGCCTACGTGAGGTCGGTGATGTTGTATGCAGTCCCAGTATGGAGTTCACTAGCGGAGACCCACTGGAGGAAATTAGAAACCACAGAGACAGCGTGTTACCGGATAATCGAAGGTTCACCATGGGAACAGAGAATCACGAATGCAACCATTAAAGAAAGGCTCCAGTACACACCACTGAGGGAGGTGGCTGAGAACAGGACAAGATACTTCTTCCACCAGGCCACAAGAAGACTCCAAAAGACCAGGGATATCCTCGAGAAGAACAGGATCCAGAGGATACATAGACAAACCCACAGACTGATCGACCACCTGATCAGGGTCTAGCCGGATGGTTGCCGGAAAACAGCCAAGCAGGGAAGTAGGTACGATGCCATAAAAAGTACCTACAGAAAAAGACGAGGAAACCACCCAGAGAAGTCCAGGATGCCGAAAGGAGATCAAATCAGAAGAAGATGGTGCAAAAGCGGAACATCAGGAAGAAAGAAGGCTAAAATATCTTAAGTTGACATGTATATATTATTAGGGCAATAAATGTTTTTATTTTTATTTTTATTTTTATTTATTTTTATTTTTATAATCGTCGGATTCACTCCCAGCCTCTCGACGCGTTAGTGTTCTGAGCTGTTGGACGTGAATCCCTGTCCTGGCATTTGGTTTTCACCTCTGGCTGCGTTGAGTAGTTGAGTTACTGTCACCAAATGCCCATCTTGGTAGTTAGTATTCGCCTCTGGTTGCGTTGAGTAACTGAGTTACCGTTGCTAACTACCCATCTTCCTGTCTTCTTTTTCTTTTTCTTTGTTCTCCTGAAGAAGCTACATACAATTGTAGCGAAATGTCAAGATGAACCCACTTTTGGGTCACTCACAAATGACACGGTCCAAACCCGGAAGACGAATAAACTATAATTCTGACTCTGGCCGTGGAAGCCTACGATTTCATTATATATATTTCTCTTATTCGCAATACGTAACCGTGGAGGTTTGTAGGTTTTTAGAGGATGATGTTGGTTCCGCCATTACTAACCAAGTAAACCCAATAGATACGGTAGAAAAATATTTGCACTGTCTGATGCGAGGTTATTTTATACCAGTAACATGGAAGCATACGGTGGCAAAAACCAAGTGGGTGGTCCATACTATCTAGACATTAGTACCAGAGCAATGAGAAAACAGGCCTCTCAACATCTCTACGGATCTAAAAAAAATGTTACCACCCACAATTGGTACACCAGCGGTGATCTTGGTATAAGCTTGAAGAAAAATGTTTTAAATCTCTTTGGAATAATAATAAAAAATAGATAAGCAATTCTTGCATATTTTTCTAACAATCAAGGACGACCTATTGACTCTAGTACATTCGAGTTTGGTTAAGGAAGAAAACTGATGTCATATAAATAAAATAAAATAAAAACGTTATGTTATATTCCACTATGCACCAAGGGGATGGTGTTGATCCTGTAACAAAAAAACTGGAAATCACATTAGCATAGAACAGCATAAAAAGCGGTATTGGTACCGTAGATAAATTATGCTTACAATGCGATGTGGCAAGTTATAGTAGAGGATGGTCTATGGCCAATTACAGCCTTTGCCTATAAACAAGTAGAATGTAACAGCAGTACATTCCTTTTGTATTTACAATTGTAACATTCCAAATTCTACAAAACCTGACGAAAATTCTTGAGCAATTAGCCTTACTCACCGGAAACATGGAAGTCAAAATGTCTATATACCCAAGACAATAAGGATTCGACTAAAGGAGATGTATCATTTGGATGAAGATGTCGTGCCAGTTCAAAGAACTCCGGGAGAAATTGAGAGGTGTAGTGACTGTGGATAAAAAAAATCGAAACACAAAATATTTTTGAAAATTTGTAAAAAGCATCTTGATTTGGAGCATCTAAATCGAATTTGCAATGAATATCATGATATTGGCTTGATTTTATGTTTTTTGCCATCTTTTATATTTTTTCTTGATAAGTCTTAGCAAAATAATGTTTAAGATAGCTCTTGAAGACTGATATGTTATGTTGTAATTTTATATTGATTGTAATTTATTAAGTTAAAAAAAGAATAAATCAAAATATTACAAAAATTGTGGACTGAATTTTGTATTACTTAGATAAAAATTTTAAATAAACAAAATATGTCAATATTAATAAATATTGTTAAAAATGCTAGTGGTTAGCAAGAAGTTGCTTAAGGAAGAGCAATTTGATTGAGATTGAGGAAGACACTGTTTATCCTAAAGGAAAACTTTTAGGCAGGGCGGAGATATTTAGGTTGCGAACTAAAAGAAATAATGGGATATAAGTACGGAAATAAAACGGCGTATTGAGATAGCTAGAAGTGCTTTAAATAAGATGAAAGCAATATTATGAAATGGACAACTCAACATTGAAATCAAAACTAGAGTATTAAGATGCTATGTGTTCTCAGTTCCGTTGTATGGAGTTGAGGTCTGGATAATTACAGGGGCAACTCATTAACTTTGAAATGTGGTATTATTAAAGAATGTGGAAAACATCTTGGACAGAACACATAACAAATGCGGAAACGCTACAAAAAATGCAAAAAGATAAAGAAATATTCAACACTATAAAGAAAAGAAAAATGAGCTAGTTTGTTCACTTACTAAGAAATACGAATTTATGCGGCTGGTCATAAAAGGGAAGGTGGAAAGCAAAAGAGGACCGCGGAGAAGACGCACGTCCTGGTTGAACAATCTGAGACAATGGAGTGGGAAAACGTAGTACCAACAATGAATTATTTTGTTAAAATTTAAACAAAATGCATCCAGAGGACTATTTTTATGACCGTGTAGTAGACCGTATATAACTACTGGTACACAAAATTAAACTACGACTATTGAAAGGTTAAAATGCCTTACATTTGTTTTTAATAATCGAAACCAAAAATTCATGCCCAAGTTTTTGTAGACGTCTTTAAAATTAAAAAATCCATAGTGATTGGCTAATAGTTATAAATTATTGTTTTAAAGTTATAAGCAAACTAAAAAATAAACTGAACTGCTCCATATTAATATCATTTTTTACAAAATTGTTTTTAAAAGGCACTTTTCTGCATGATATTAATGTTTCAGGATATCGAGACGTTCGATTTGGAAGATTTCAAGTACAACTCAGTCAACATAACTGCTTTTAGAATCGTTGATGTGGAGCATCCGAAAGTCAAAGAAACATTGGAGGTTATGGAAAAGTTTCAACCGATTGGCCATGCAATTCTCAACAGAAGTGGAGTTATTCAGGTATGAGACGGTATATGGATTTGCTTTTAGTTCAGCCTAGAGCTAAGTTAAAGTTTGAATTATTCCAAAAATGTCTGTCTTTAAATCGAGAAAATGCTTTTTGTAATGTATATATGATATACATCGTATATTCATATATTTCCCTAGTTTCCAATATACTTTAGACTTTTTGATTTATATATTGATAAAAAAATTAAATTATAATTGAACAAATTAATTATTCATAGATGTTCAAAGCCTGGGGCTTAAAGTTTATTATATTTTATCATACAGTACAACAATATTTTTAGACTGGATTACTCTCAAGCAGATTACACAATACTACTGCTACATAATTCCAATTATTCTATATTAATTAATCTATTTGGTGTTTACATTTTACTCTAATCAGATTTCTACTCTACAACATACTATAATTTCCGTCCATTTTATTATATTCTGAGCAACGTTATTCCAGTTGTATACACTAATGCCCGGATTAAACAAGGTGTAATGTAAACATAGCAAGAAAAAAAAAATAAGGTGTAGTAGCCTAGAAAAGAGTAATAATTATTTAAATAATTATTATATATTCCAAATTGAATAAGGAACAAATAACTCGACCTAGTTTAAGTGTATTACACGAGTTTCAGTATCAGGTCGCCACGATAGTTTAAAAGAAAAAATAACGATAAAAACATAGACCTTTGTTGAAAAATAACACCACCGCCTGACCCGGTTTAAGCACGAGGACTCAGTCAGCAAAAAACTCGACCTTGGTACTGCGATCGGTAATTAAGATTACGGGTTTATAAAAAACGAACGAGGTGGGTCAGGAGAGTCAGTAAACACGGGACACCCGAGAGTGCTCCACGCCAGAAGTACGGGCGATCTCGGCCTACGCAGCCCAGTGAGCGCGCTATTGTAATTCGACGGTGTAGAGTACCGTATAAGTGCCGGTATCTGGTGTTTCGAAAATTCATGATATCGCACGGTAACCTCAACAGGCCGATCCTGAATTCCAGTAGGACTGAAGGGCGTATTCATTAACTAGGGCCTAAATACGCGAAGGTAACTAAATCTATATACTAACCTAAGAAATATATAAAAACGTAGATTGTCCACCCTTTAATTTCTTGCTGAAGTCTTTTGTCGTCTCCCTTCGCGCCTGAACGAATCATTATTGGTTATAACTAATACCTTGTTATCTTAATTGTAGTATACAGTCTATTTAATACTTTTTAAACTCGAAATTTGGTTTTATTGTTCCATCCCGGCCGTTACAGGCAGAGACTAGAAGAGTACACATTTTTCGCTTATGAATTTCTCCGGCTTCTAAAGCAAGCCCATAGAGTCAACTCTTTAAAGGACCTGAGACTAGAAGTCCTTAATCCCCTTTTTCCCAAATCTCTCTCTCCTCCTGAATCCGCGAGGGCGAAACCAGTCAGTTCAGACTAGTGGGACCAGTAAGCCTTGCCTCCGCTCGCAGGGATAAGTATCCCCTAATAATTCTAGACGAATCCAAGGTTTTGAGACAGGCGTCTTTTACAATGATGACAGCGGCATTTATTAGAATGGTGACAGTAGGGTTCCCGCGAACATTATAAACGGTTCTCCAATTATTACAGTGGTGACCTCATCATTTATTACAAAGGCTAGTTTTTCAAGCTAGTATAGCAAGCTAGCGGTTTTTATACTATCAAGCTAGTATTAATAGCTTCGTGTATCCAGAACTAGCTTCGTATGTAGGCTAGTAAGCTTCTGAGAAAGACAGTAAGCCAGTGTCTTAAGCTAGGATATTTTAATGGCATGGAGTTCTATTTTGTTAAGCTACATGCGTCCTCCTCTACTACTTTTACTATCCTGGCTTGTGTACGACCCCCCTCTGACAGGCAAAGCTAGTATTTTCGAACGACAAGTGAGTAATGTCGACCTGTTTTATTTTTTCTGAGAGATAATCATGTGTTTTTAAAACTAATATAACAAAATTAAGTTCTGAGATTAATTTAAAGTTTGTGCAACTGCATGATTAAAAACTGTTAACAGCAACGGAGAAAGACTCATAAATATATGCCAACAGTATGAGTTAAATATTTTGAATGGTTTTTTCGCCCACAAGAACATACATAAATACACCTGGGATCAACATACAAGAGTTCTAAAATCAATAGATTATTTTATAACAAGAAAACAAACTAAGTTAAGAATACAGGATTTAAAGGAGAATAGAGGAGCAGAGTGCGGCTTGGACCACTGCCTGCCAATACCTGGACAACCACATAGGAGGGACAAGGAGTTCTGAAGCCTGTAGAACTATAAAAACGATGAGAACAACGACAAAAACAAAGTCATAATAAATAGAATACCAGAGAACACATGCGTAAAGCATTTTGAGAACTTATTAACAGAGAGAAGAGAAAGGTTTAAACAGACAAATGAACAAGTGGAAGTAGAAGGAAGAGTAGAAATATCAATAGAACAAGTGAAAGAAGCAGTTAAGGGAACGAAATTAGGAAAATCTCCAGTTGCAGGCGGAATACATCCAGAGTTGATTACGTATCGATCATCAAAACTGTTTGAAATGATCCGAAAATTATTCGAAAAATTCTCAGACGGAGAAAAAGTTCCAGAAGAATGGAGACTATCGTATATCTCTCCAATACACAAGAAAGGCACAAAGACAGATCCTAAAAACTATAGAGGAAGCGCAGTGATTGCTACTATAGGCCGACTATACTCAAAAGTACTAAGAAACATTTTCCATTATTTTTGTGGCAAGGGATAGTTTTTAGGGGTGCAAAATTACGCAAGAAATAAGTAAATACTTTAATTCTCAGTAAATGAGATTTCAATTCAATATTGTATTATTCCAATAATTAAAGTTTCTTGAAATTAATTTTTTCAATGATTCTGCTTTAAGAGGGTGGTTTTTAAGGATTGAAATTTTACATTAAATCAAAAATTATATTATACACATTAAAGAAACTGTTTGGGTAATATTAATATGCGATTTGATATTTCAGAAATATAAAAAATTATGTTTTCATGATTTTAGATTTAAGGGCTTAGTTGCTAAAAGGGTTGAAAAATTAATTAAAATCATAAATCGTGCTTATAAATGTTGCAAAATATTTATTAAATTTAATTAATCGGGATTACTTATGCCATAATCCTTAAATCTGCATTTTTTACCATTTTAAAAAATAGGGGTGGATTTCACCTCTAAAATGCAAAAAACGCAAGTTGAGCAAATGTGGCTTTTGAAGTTGAGGGTAAAATATACTCAATCCCTAATTTTCATGCAAATCGATGCAGGCTCATCGAAATCGGAGGTAATAGTTGATTTTTACCTTTATTCACTGTACTATATGCACTTTTATTATTTATAAAGATACTGAATGCAAATCGGCCACTGTTTCATATTAAAATTGGTCATTTCCCGTAAATCGCTCGGTAATTGATAGTATAATGTTTTGTGGTAATCTAAGCTCCAAGTGTATCTATGAATTTGATATTAAATTAAATTACATTGCGATTCTATCAGGTATCTTAGCAATTACGTCGTTTATGGCAAGATTCGTCAATCCAATAGCGATTTATTGATTGTTCCACAATGGTCGTTGAATTTGGAAATCTAAGAGATTGTTTTGGGATAGAAACTAGTCGAGAGAAGGGTATTTGAAACTTAATACATTCCTAACGTGTTCTATTACTAATATAGGTGCATGCCTTTATTGAATTACTTAATTTATTGAATTTAATAAACTGTAAACTTAATAACCATACTTGTGTTTAAACTATAATTACCCTGGTAGCTATATTGTTAAAATGTTCGGCAATAGACTGCAAGATTAACATACTTATACATATAAAATACTATTTTAAAATATAGCCGTTTAAGCACGTACGTGGAAAAACTCCTTGGTGAATACCAAGACAGTTTTAGGCCAGGTAGGTCAGTAAGTGACCAGCTTCTTGTTCTGCGTTTTACATCTTAGAAGTAATCAATGAACGATTACTGCAAGGAGACGAGAAAGAGTGTCTTCTGTTTAATGTAGCTTAAGAAAAAACTATAAGAGATGCCGAGTTACATCATAGGAGAATAGACTTTAATAACTCAATACAGATTATGGCTTAGGCTGACAATTTGGACTTATTCGCAGCACCACATGACAAATTAAAAGGTGGTTTCCATATTTTTAATGGTCTTACAATAAATGGATTTAAAATAGATGAGGAAAAAACCAAAGTGTTGCCAATCGATTCCAAATAACAGAGATAGAGCTGGACACGCCGAAGAAAACTTTAAGGTAGTAATTAAGTTAAATTATCTACGTATTCTTATAATAGACGATAATACAGACAACATTAGTCTGTTTCATATTTAGAATCACTTGAAACAATATCTTTTTTTGTCTCTACAAAGTTTCTGTAGTCTTCTGGAATTAACTTCTCGCGTAAGAGACGCAGAATGTAATACTGTATTGATTACTTCCGTAAGTGTTCCGTTTACTATCCGTAAATGTGTGTTATATAAACTTATATTGTATTGAAGTTTTGTTTAAAATTTTACACATTTTATTAAGAAAGACAAAACATTTTTGTTGTTCAATCATTTTATTTGATAAATTATAAACTCAACATACATGTTTTCCGGCATTTTAAAACTTGACAACGAAAATGACAAACAAAAAGAATGAAAAATTAATAATATTCAGTTGTGGTCAAATCAGATTAGTGGTGGGCTTCATAGTTCCTTTCTAGGAACTAGTTCCTTAGATCTAGTTCCTAAAAAGGAACTAGTTCCTGGAACTAGTTCTTCGGAACTATGACTAACTTTGCGATCAGATCGGTATGATCAATCTTGATATGAATCGGATCGAGTGTTTAGGTTCGATATTCGACATCACAAATAAAATAAAAGTAAAATATGGTAAACAATGGGAAACTAAATTCGAAGGCATTGGTTTAAATATTTATTTCACGAAAATAACGAAGTGGTTTTTTACTTTATCTAAACA